AGTGGCAGAGGCCACTTTCTTGTTCACAGTAGCAGCATTTAAGTGGGCTATGGGCTTAAGCTTTGAGTAAGAGCAAAACAGGGCAAAGAAAGGCAAGACTCTGCTAATCATTTCTCATAGTAACACTAGCTTCACCCTCAGAAGACTTTTTAACAATAGACAAAACACGCATGCTCATGAATGATGAATGCTGTAGGCAAATAGGTTTCCCCGCTCTTCTTAATCTTCCCAAGTAATTGAAGCATGCTACATACTGCTTGCTTCCTGAATCTTAATATCACCACTTTTTTTTTATAATTTTATCCCTTCCCAAGTCTCTATACTTAAAACATATACAAATAGCAGTAAACTACAGTTTTTCCCTAACCAATGTAATTCGCCTTTGGGTTTGACTTAAGGACTGGGAGAATGAAATAGCATCAGCAAGCAAGTTATATTTTAATGTCATATGTTTCTGTGTGTTTACTTTTTCATTATGAAAAAATACAGAGAAAAGCTTCTACAGTTTAGCAAGTGTTCTATGAAGGATGCTCATTCCAGGTAAAACTTTTAAACCTTCTGCTATAGCTGCTGCCTAGCAGGTACAAAATATATCCACGTAGCCAACCTATGCAGCCACAAAACAAGGCACATTAATCTTTGAAAGTTCTATATATTTATACATGTTTTAACCATAGCCATCTGCCATTACTACCCTCCAATTCTCCCCAAATCACTCCTCCCCATTTCCCTTCCATCTTCATGTCTTCTTTTTTATATATTTTTGACATTAATAACCCAGAGTTCTGTCTGTGTTGTCCATATGCACATGCTAACTGATCATGCTGACAAACCATATTCTAAATGTTTATTCCCATAGAATTACTCTGCTTTAAACTCTGGTTAGAGAAGCTTCTTTGTACACTGGAAACAAGTAATATAGAGATCCATAACTGGTATAAGTAGTGACTATAAATCTGAGGATGGGTCATCTATGTTCTCAGGAAAAATCTCAAATATAAAGGACATTTCTGGCTACCTAACATTACTGTTAAAGTAAACAATTTGTTTCTTGATAATTATATCATAACCTAAAGACCCAACCCAAGTACATTCAACTAGTTATGTATATATGTCATGGTTCATATATTTTTTTTTAGTTTTTCATACATGTGATACAAAATTGCCATTAAACAACAATAAAGGGAAGATACTGAACTCTATAATATGCTTTGTTTTGTGGCTGCATAGGTTTCCAACGTGGATATATTTTGTAGCTGCTAGGCAACATTAATAGCAGAAGCTTTAAAACTCTTACCTGGAATGGAACAACCTTATTCGAACTGTTAGTAAAGTTCAGCACCATTTCTCTGTGTATTTCATAATGAAAAAGTAAACACACAGAAACAAAGTGGGGTCTGGAATGATTATTACCAAATTTTATGAAAGACCCAGAAATTCTATAATCCTCTTTTCTTTCTATCATAGTTGTTTTTTATCATCTTGAAAAAAAACATCTGTATGGAGAAACAGTAAATGTGCAATAAGGTCCTTTATTACTTCTAGTGCTTGTTATATCCTTAACTCTTTATATCAGGTGCAAAGCACATTAGTAAAACTGAATTTAGGGAGCCTAGTCCTCTTGCTAGACTCAACCCCAAATTTCCAGATGTGATTACCTTGGGACCAGCTGTGATGTATGGATCAAATATGCTGTCACCTATAAAAAAACACAAAAGTCATGATAGTGTTACCTTCTCCAGATAAAGGACAGGCAGGCCCTGGGAATATGAAATCGGTATCTCACATCTTTCTAGGTGAAATACTCTCCCTCCTCTCCTCCCAAATGTTCTCCTCCCCTACTCCCCTTACTTCATTCCTTTTCCCTTCCCTACACACATTATATCTCTCTGTTCTTCCTCCCATTTACTTCTTTCTCACCCTTTTCTTTCCCTTATCTACTTCCACTTTCCTCTTCATCCTCTCATGATCTCCTCCTTCTCCTGTCCCATTCCTCTCCAATATCTCCATTGGTTGTCTTCAAGTTGAAGAATTATGATCTAGGAAATATATCAGAATGTTAATAGTCATATACTTATTAACAGTCATCAACTCAGTATTCTATATTTTATATGATAACCACAATTTTTAAAATTAAAAGAAAAAAGCAACATTCTATAGCATGGCAGTTTATTGACATTTATTTACTTTACTGTGCAATAAGAGAACAAGGAAAAAATATCAAATAATGAAATAACTTTCAACAAAAGGCAAAGTAGAACACACCTTTAGCTTTCAATTACACAATATGCAATGGTGCAACCCTTTAAAATACTGTATCATATTTAACACCTTAGTGGTAAATAATACCTTTGCTTATATACCAAATACATCACATAAAGAAACCCACAAAAGTCCAATGTAGTAGTTACATGTATTTTTAAATATATTATCATTTCTTTTTCTCAAGCAACTACATTTCACAATAGAATGTTTTAGTTAGTATTATTACTACATTTCTATGGCAAAGTAATGAAGGCACAACTAGTGCAAGCAGATTTAAGTCCTTAATCTTCTGAGCTGAAAAAAGAAAAAGAACACACATATACATTGGTATTTAAAGTTTTGCTTTTTCAGGCAAAGATTTGTCTAACAAGTCTGACAATTTGCACAGGTAAAGTCTAATAGGAACATGACATAAGGACTTCACAAAACCAACACTGTAGCACCAAACAAAACATGCTTTGGAAAATAAATAGCACTTCACATATTTTGAAGAATATTACAATACAACAGGCAAGATAGAATAAACAGATGCTTAAGACAGTTTTTTAGGACATTACCAGGAAAAATGAAAACACCAGACTATAAGCAGTAATAATGTTCAAGTTACAGAACAAATTTTATCTTTTACAAGGTTAGGTGAATCTGTTTTACTTCTGCTTGCTTCTTGACATTTTAGCATTCTTGAAAAATCTTTCAGCTTGCCTTTTTCACTTGTAGTACTTCCTGTTTCCGTAATCTCTGACATCATGGTAGTAGGGATCATTGATTTCTCCTGTGAAGTAATAAATTGATTTCAAGACGACATTATCATGCAAAATTTGGCCAATTTCAAAGTCCTCATCAAGGATAGCATCTTCTCTTGGTTCCAGCTTCCCAATCAAAGGAATCTCGGGAGGATTAAAGAAATTGAAGAAGGATGCATTAGGAACCACTCTTGGCTGGACTTCATTTTCTCCAGTAGCAGCTGGGCGACTCCGGGTAGTTGTCACTGTAACATCTTTTCCTCGTCTCCAATCTATCTTGCAGCCTTTGCATTCTTCAATTTCCCATCCCCAAGCAAAGAAAGGGTCATAGTGATCTGGTTTTGACCTTATGATGTATGTCTTCATCAGCAGCTCATTTTTGAAGTATGGGTTAGGCAGGAAATGAAATTCAAAAGTATAACTTATAGGCTGGCCAGGATTTGAGAACTTCAGGCTAACATCAGACAAGAACTTCAAAATGGGCTCATCATACTTTTGAATCATAGGCCCAAGCTTATCAACATTCTTTAAAACAGTCAGCCAGTAGTCAGGAATACCTTTAGGATCTTCTCTCTTAGGTTTTCCCTTTCGAGCCCTTTTAACATTCCCTCTTTCAGGCCTTGTCTCTGGGACTCTTTTTTGAGCCTCTCTTAAGGGAGCCCTTGGTTTGGATTCTTCTACAGGCTGATCTTTATTTTCTGCATTTGCCTGGGGAACTTCTTTGGGGTCTTCTGTTTCTTCAGCAGTTATCTCTATACAATCTGTAGAGTCTGCCTTTTCTTCAACCTTTACCTCAGGAATTTCTTCAGAGGCTTCCTTTGTTTCAAACTTTACCTCAGGAATTTCTTCAGAGGCTTCCTTTGTTTCAATCTTTACCTCAGAAATTTCTTCAGAGGCTTCCTTTGCTTCAGCCTGTACCTCAGGAATTTCTTCAGAGGTTTCCATTGCTTCAGCCTTTACCTCAGGAATTTCTTCAGAGGCTTCCTTTGCTTCAACCTTTACCTCAGGAATTTCTTCAGAGGCTTCCTTTGCTTCAACCTTTACCTCAGGAATTTCTTCAGAGGCTTCCTTTGCTTCAACTTTTTCTTCAGGAACCTCTTTTGGAATTTCTTTATCTTCAGTTTTCACCTCAGGAATTTCTTTGGGAGCTTCGTCTTCTTCAACTTTTCCCTCAGGAGCTTCTTTTGGAGCAGCCTTTTCTTCTTCCTTTACTTCAGCTTCTACTTTACAGGTTTCTTCTTCTTCCTCACCCTCTAAGGGGGGCATTTCATTAGGTGTGTCATCCTGCATTTCCTCATCACCACTGAACTCTTCCTCTGAGTTCCATTCACATTCTTCTTCTGTAGGCTCATACTCTGCATTTATGATCTGAAAACGCTTATCATACAGAGGCTTATTGAGCTCCGCATATTTTCTTTCAAGATCATGAATTGCCCTTAAGAACAAGGTATCTACCTTGTCACACTCATCCTGAATATTTCTGAGTGCCTGCACCCGATTTCTCACTGCCTGCGGTAGCTTATCCATGAAATGTTTCCCGGAGGGATGGCGCTGGGCCCTTCTGGAAGGCTCAGGTACCCTCTTCTTTCGGTATACTCGACTGCCACTGCTGCTGCTGCTGCCACTGCTACTGCTGCCGCTGCTGCTACTGCTGCTGCTGCTGCTGCTACTGCTGCTGCTGCTGTTGCTGCAACTAGAGGTACTGCTAGAGCTATTGCTGTCAGATTCTTCCCCGGAATCACTAGCTGAGCTAGCCATCGCCACTTCAGCAACCCCTTGGGCGGCAGGTTCTGTGACCATTTTAGGATCCGCTTCTGCCATGCTGCTAGCCCCGCACACCTCTCTTTAAAGTGGTGACAACAGAGATCGCGCACCCAGAGATGGGCAGCGAATGACTCACGGATGCTCTGAGAGCAGCTGCGAAGGCCCGGGCTGCTCAGGCGGCGGCGGCGGCGGTGGCGGTGGAGGTTGCGGCTGCGGTGCGGTAGAGGACCAGCAGCAGCAAGGACGGCAGTGGCTGCGGCGGAGGTGCGGCAGGGGCGGGGCCAAGGTGGCGGCACGCAGGAAGCCTCAGCAGCGGAAACAGGCCAGTGCCTAGGCGACAAGGCCTTTGCAGGGGACTGGTCTCGGCCTAGACAGGGCCCGAGTCTTGCCGCAGTCGAATGGCGCAGTACCTGACTCAGATCGGTCTTCTGGTTTAGGATGGCGAGCCCCTCCCTTGGTGACACCCCTTGCGTCAATTTCGTTCCCAGAGTGCCTCTAGTTCGCGCCTCATTTGCTGGACAGCCCGGATTGACCAGCGTTCCAGCCAACGAATGGTTGGAGGTAGCGGCTCTTTCTCTAGGCTCCTCCTCCCTTCCCAGATGCTCCTTGGTGGCTAAGGCACCCACGCCCCCCCCCCCCGGAAAGACGGGTTTCCTCCCCCTTCCAAAATTCTCTGCTTATGTGTTTTTTTAATTCAAAGGGAGAGAAAAAAAAATGCGTAGATATGAGGTAAAAGCGCCAGCTATAGTTCCTAGCAACGAAAGGAAAGGATCCCTTTAGCTCAAAGGTCCATTCTGATTTCCCCATTCGGTTAAATTCCACACTGCAAACTGTTAATGGGGGAAAAAATGAGTGAAAGCGTTCTAAGTGGCGTCATTGGATAGCGTGACTGGGTGATGGAGGGGGGATAACACGCAAACAAACATGATTTTCTCTAAATATTCCATGAGCATGTGTTTTCACACTGGAAAAGGGGAGTCGTTTATTGGCAAGGGGGGAGGGGCTAGACAGCAGGCATATTGCATTCCACGTAGCAGATTTAATAAGTGCTGTCTGTGATGTTTGGCAAGCCTGGTTTATATCCATCTGCAAGGTTTGCGAACCCATGTTGCCGTGAGTCAGTTACACCATTTGTTTTTTAAATCGTATTTCTGTTTTAAACCTGGCATATAATGTATTCTAATCTTATTGTCTAAATTGCCACGTAGTCCTTTTCAATGCTTGTAGCAAAATTTTAGACAAAACAAAGGGGTTTTAAATTGTAAGGTAATATGTTTTTTAAAGGCAGAGGATTTGTTTCGGACTTCTGTGCAGCAGGTTTCAGTTCCACTAACAGCAGGATGGGAGGGGGAATTTGTTCTAACGCAAGTGCATCATCTGTAAGTGTTTTAATATGTCATCTGCCACCAATTTCCTTCTATTTTGTAATTGTATCCATATTAAAAGATGATTTACAAGCCCAGTAATATATAAACAAACTTTTGCTGAATGAACTTTAAAAACAGATATTTGCTATTTTTATTTACAGGATTCAGTTCTGCTACAACCAAAAAGACCAGTGTTTACTTTTCATTGAAAGGTAAGGACTATTAGTCCCTCTTTTTTTATGAATGACCAGAATTGCTCATCTGTACTTAAATAAAAATTCACAGGCTATAATCTGTTAAAGATTTGATTGGAAGATATCTTGCTATTTCCAGACAAGCAGAAAAATCGATAGAGGTGACTTGGCATACAAATGAGAAAATAACCTACTTAACTGCATTCACTCTCTGAACTTGGTCATAGACTATAAGTGCTATGTTAAATGTATTAAAAGAGTCTAGCTTTTGTGTAGTACTTTTCATTATAGAGTGTGTGCTTTTTATTTTGTCACAACATTTTAAATTAAGAAATGCATTGTTAGTTTGAAACTGAATTTGTATTTATCTGTAACTCAAATTTTATGTACATTTTAAATTAAATTCAGTATAGAAGATTATGATGATAGTCAATATTTAATTTTAATAACCAAATGATAACCATTTTTTTTTACATTTTGATGCAGTTCCTTCCAGAAGTTTCGTTATGCTTGTATACATCTGCTTCTTTATATATACTGTTTTATGTGTGTGACATCATATGATGGCTTGTAATTTAATGATTTATTGCTGTTTTCATAGGAAATAATAAATTCCTTATTTTAAATAATTCTGTAGTCTGTTATAAGTATATACTTATGTGCTAAATAATTATATCATTCATTAGTAGCCACTTCAAATCATTGACATAGGATATTTTCCTAGAAATTGGATTATGAACTAAGCCTTATGGTATTTTGTAATTTTGTACCTATTACAAATGTCCATGAAGGTTCTTATAATTTAAAATGTATAAAAGTTCATCCATTCCAACATTCAACAAATAATGCCTGTGTCTTTCCTGTGACAGCCACATTAGTAAGAGATAACAATGTTATTTAATGCTAAGTAGAAAATGCTTACCTTTACCTTATTGTTTTGTAATTTTCTTCAAAACACACACTGTGTGAACTATAATTCAAATAAATGGGCTGCATGATGGATACAGTACTGCCACTTATCTATAACTATAGTAATAGACATATTTTGAATAAAGATACTTATAATTTATAGTAATTTAATAGTGTAATTTATATATTAAGTTCTGTACTATCAGAGATTACTATTTTTGAATCAGTTTTTAGTGAAGTTCTAGATTTGTTTGTTTGTTTGTTTTCTTGTAGTGGATTGGAATAAAGGAATCACATATCAGGGTGCTTCATCTCTGAGCTATAACTATAACCATTGATATTTAAAAATTTATTTTACTAGCTACGTATTTCCTTGTAAAACTTTTACTTAGAAATCTCTCCATCTGTACCTACTGAATGCACTTATTTACCGTGTAAGCTAAATCAATTGGATCTATTTCTACATTCTGTGTTTTTGAGTTATTGAGCACAGATTTTCCAGCAAATAATGGAACGAAGCATTTTTTACTAATGTTTTTAGAGACAGGCACACTATGAGTCCCAGAGTTGCATCAGAATTTTGTGTATCCCAAATTTGCTTCAATAGTAAGGGACTTTCAAGGTAAATTTACAATTTTCAAAATTACATGTATTGATTGTAACAAGTTGGCATATTAAATAGAAATAATAAATCAAATATAACTCAAGATATTTCAAGAGATTATTACTATTCTCATTTTAACTAATATTTCCTAAATACTGTCTCAATGCTATAAGCATACATTTCTCAGATTAGTAGTAAAACTGAATATATCTTCATAGTTTTATTTTCCATTCAGCAATTATTTGTTATCTTCTACTAACCAATTGAATGAAAAATAATCATTGTTCAAATGCAAAAAAGTAAAATTAATTGTGACTTGAATTAAGACAACCATGAATATTTCATGAAATATCACTGTTTTAAAATTTAGAATTAAGTTTAAAGTTATCTCTTTTAAGAATTGTAAACTATAAATTCATATTCACACATATTGGAAATTCTTTGATAAGAAATGGGAAATAAACCTATAACAACTCATAAAAAACAATATTTATGAATTTTTATAATTTTATGAATGTTTTCTGTAAACTATAAATTTTGAAATTAGAGAGTTTCCATTCATAGTAATCTTTTGTGTGGATATTTTCTTCCTTATATACTATGTAATATTTTGTATATTATTTTATCAATAATCACATATATACATATTAAAGCCATAGGTATTTCTTCATGTAAATAAATTTGTTACACCATATATTTTCTACTGTAAGTATATTTACATGCTTTAGTTCTAATATACCTACTTTTCAGGAGATGATAATGTATAAACTTCTTGCACAAGGCGCTCTGTGTCTGTTCTATTATTTTGTGATATTTTAGTGGATATTAAATTCTCATTCTTTACAGAAGATGACGTTTATCACAGAATTTGTTAGTTACTTAGATTGTTTATAGCTCTTTTAGAATTGTTTATAACTTTCCTGATATGAACTATACATAGTTCCTTTTACTGTTACCTCACACATGCATGCACACACACAATGACAAATGTGGTAATTTTGTATTCATTTAAAAGTATCTATAATGCAATGCATAAGCAGTTTATTTCTTTTAAGCTTTTAAATTAAAATTGTGTGCATATATGCATGTGTGTGTGTAAATGTGTATATACCATCTGCAAGTGCATATGGAAGTCAGATGACAAATTTGTGGAGTTGGTTCTCTCTTTATTCCATGTGTCCAGGTTTGCATAGCAAGCAACTTTACCAATGTCCGAGCCATGCTGCAGACAGTAGTTCATATATTTTTTCTTATTGGTGGGTCAGTTGGGGGAGTGAAGGATCATCCTGACATTTTTATCTGAATAAGCAAGTATCCAATTCACTATTTTAAAGAACTATTAAAACATAACAAGGGGGAGCTCATAGACCCCAGTCTGCTAGTTGGGAAACCAGCATAGGACCAATCTAGACCCCTGAATGTGGTTCCCAGTTAGGAGCACTGGACAGTCTATGGGGCCTCTGACAGTGGAACCAGGATGTATCCTTAGTATACGAATGGAATTTGGGAGCCCATTCCACATAGAGGGATACACTCTCAACCTAGACACGTTGGGGAGGATCTACGCCTTGTTCCAAATTGTATGACAGACTTTGAAGATCCCCAATGTAAAGCCTCACCCTCCCTAGGGAGCAGAAAGGTGATGGGATGAGGGTTAGGGGAGGACAGCAGAGGAGGTGGGGATGAGGGAACTTGGAATCATATGTAAAAGAAGCTTGTTTCTAACTTAAATAAAAATATCATAAAAATAATAAACAAAACAAGTGTTAATAAGTCTATACACATTTGACATCATCTCTGCCATGCAGATAATGGAATTTTTTTTATCATATCCAAAGTTTTCTCTTATGCCTATGGATCTATGATTACTCCCTCTGTCCCTTGGAAACCACTAATCTGTTTTATGTTCCTATAGTTTAATTTTCATTTTATCAATTGTAAATAAACAACATCATTAAATATTCACTACTTTTTACCTGTATCATTTCTCTGGCACAAATACTTAGAAATTTATCATATATATATATATATATATATATATATATATATATATATATATATAGAGAGAGAGAGAGAGAGAGAGTCTTCTATTTTTTACTGAGTAGTGATACATTTTCTGACAGTAAAATAATTTCTTCTTTCTGTGGTTTAGAATTTGTGAATAAAGTTGCTATGGTCTCTTCATGTATAAGAATCTGTAAGGATATGTTTTCATTTCTTTTAGAAAACATTCGTAGGATTGGAATGGCTGGATCACATGGTAGGTGCATCATTGCCTTTATAAGAGGAACCAGTACTTATCCCTAGTGCATGAACTGGCTTTTTGGAGCCCATTCCTATGGAGAGATACTCTCTCAGCTTAGATACAGGGGGGAGGGCCTCCCCAAATGATCTGACAGACCTTGATAATAACCCATGGAAGGCATTGCCCTTCCTGGGGAGTAAATGGGGTGTGGGATGTGGAGATGGTGGGGGAAATGGGAGGAGGAAAAGAGATTTAGGGAATTGGAATTGGTATGTAAAATAAGATTCTTTTTAATTTAAAGAAAATTAATTTTAAAAATTATCTCTTTCTCAAATAAGTTGTTATTTTCCGTGTTACCAACATAAAAAATCTTTGGTGTGGACAGTATTTTTAAAAGGAACCATGATAATGGATATGCAGTAGCACAGTCCTATCATTCTTATTTTCATTTCCCTAATGACTACTGAGGTTGTGCATCTTCCCATATGCTGATTTGCAAATAACATGTGTTCAGTGAAGTATGTACTCATATTTTCCATATTTATAAATGTTATTTGCATTGCTTTTATTCTTTGAGTAGTCTTCTATAGTATTCATATGAGCTCTTCATCAACTGAAAGTTTAGCAAATCCATCCTGAACTTACTTTGTCTTCTCTCAACATTGCCCTTCATAGTTTTCAGAAAGCAGAAGCTTTTTTTACATCTATGATGAGGTCCAAGTAATATTTTTTCCCAGTATCATGTCTCACTCAAACTTACAGATGTTTCTCTTTACCATTTTCCTAGAAATTTAATACTTTTTTGTTTGATACTAAGGCTGATGATGTGGTATATGATAAAATATATAGATTGAAGTCATTTTAATATTTTTCATAAAGATACAAAATTAGTTCAAACTCAAGAGACTTTCCTTTCTCCACTTATTTGACTTTCAAACACTAATTGTCTCTCTCTATATATATATGTATCTATGATAAACCATTTTGTCCCAATGTCTACTGGTTTTAACTCAGTAATTGTTAGTAATGCATTTATTAGATACATTCAGGATGGAATAAGAACCACGGTGTGGAATAACAGAATTTCATTACAATGAAAACTGCAAATTTTTCATCACTGAACTTTCAATTTTGCTCCAAATGTTTGACAAACAGGAACAGACAGCAGCAACATAAACCCAGAGAACAAATATAAACAAAAAGACAAGTTGATTGTATGTAGTTTTCAGTGTACATATATATACAACATAACTATAGAAA